TTTCCCACAAAGTATTACTGGTAATAATTTTTTACAAGAAATCTATTGCCGGTATTAAAACTTATTTTTACACGTTTTGACTCCATTTTGGGAGTTAACTATTTGCCCATAGCTGGGACCCTAACAGGTGCTACCACCCCGGTTCTTGATGGACCTGGGGACACCAGCAATGAAGAGGTGGTTCCACGATCCTGAAATTCTCCTGATCACAGGTCTTGCTGTCGGATGTAGTTTATCATCTTACCGAGGACACAATATTCCGGTGTAATATTAATTTATAATGGAAACGAGATATATATATATATATATATATATATATATATATAACGAATATAATAAAAGTCGACTATTTTTTGTCTTCCATTTAAAATTAATTCTATATCAAAACATATAAAAAATAACCAGTATATTAACATAATAACAAAAATTATGTAACCTTAATCATTACAAATGATTCCTTAGTATGGCCTGGCCACGTATCAATAGCTGATGGGTCGCACCCCGGCACCGTTTCAGAATCACTGTTGTATAGTGCTTAAAAAAAACAATACATATCAATGATGGTTAATTAATAGTGTTAAAGTATGATAAATACTTGCGGTTTTAAATTCGAAGTCTGGATAAAATTGGTATTTAAAATTTAAGTAAATCTTTCCATAAAAATATTATTAACGCTCTTTTTTTAATATCAATATTTTTATATTGAGCATTATATATATATATATATATATATATATATATATATATATATATATATATATATATATAAATGACAGTAAAATAAGTAAAATAAATTAACCCAAACAAATTACCAAATCATACCCATTAGAATAGACGAAATAGAATAAATAAATAAAAACAAAATCAATGAACCCAAATAAATAAAGTAAATAATAAACAAATTAACAAACCATTATGACCAAAATATTAGTTAGACTATAAAAATCAGACCAAAAATCGGACGAAATACATAGCTATAGCAGTTATGTAACGATAAAAAAATACTACGTTATTTAAAAATGGAAACCGAAAAGAGTAAATAAAAATATACAGTATAATAAAAAACAAGTAACATAAATCAATCTAAATTAATCCAAATAAATAAATAAACAAACCGATCCCGATAAATTAACCGTTAGAAAAAACAAATAAAGATAATCAATCCAAATAAATAAATAAATAAAGTAATAAACAAATTAAAAACTGCTCCCGCCAAAATAATAGTTAGAATATACTACAGCAATCGACCTCAAAAATGAATAAATAGCTTTATCTTCCCAAACTAAAACAAAACTATTAAATAAGCGATATAAACAAATTTTTACTACTTTAATAAAACACCGATTAAAATAAATAAATATATAAGATAAGAAATAAAAATAAAAATAAATAAAAATCAAGCAAAATAATTTAACCCAAATAAATAAATAAACGACTTCCGGCAAAATAACTGCCAAAATAGACTACCCACAATGCACCACTGGCCCGTATATATAAAGAGCCAAGAAAAAAACAACACTCGTGGCCTGACGACTGCGTCTAGCATGAAACAGCCTGTCGCCTCTATGTGTTGACATCAATGTTCATTTTATATATATATATATATATATATATATATATATATATATATATATATAATGGTGTTTCTTAAATCTTATAGATATAAATGTGAGTGTATGATACTACAGGACAGACAAAGCCGTATCTTTTTTCCATAGTTTTCTTTTCTACTAGTCGCCATGATTCTTCTGATGAGCTGTTGACCGAAAAAAGGTTACTTTTTAGGGAAATGTATACGTGTATGTGTTTATAGGGTTCAGTACGGTCCTAACCGTCCGACCGAAAGTAAGGCTTACGTCTCGGCCTTTTTCTTTTTCTGTTTTCCCGTGGACTTTGTCATTTTGGGAAAGAATAAATGATTGACATTTCAGCGATCATCTATGCCCCCCGGTCAAATGATGTAAGAAGGATTAAATCGAACGGGGTAACCTGACCTCAGCAGAGCGTTGCCTTGGTTACCGACAGTCCGTCATAATTTAGATGCAGAAATCTGTTACTATGCAGAAAACAGCGAAGCTTTATTTTATTTTTAAGGCGCAGTCCTTGTTGAGATGAAAGAGGACATTTTCTTTGAGATTTAATCGATATTTCGTGGTGTAAACCTCTTCATCACATTTTGTGTTCGTCTTGTTTACTGAGTTTTCCATCTTTGGCGCAGACACGTCTGTTGGTTGATTAGTGCAGTTTTCCACATCTTAACCCTCGAAGAAATCTGGTTTTCATTATTAATATCCTCTCTCTCTCTCTCTCTCTCTCTCTATATATATATATATATATATATATATATATATATATATATATATAATTTCGGCTTTAATGAAACATGTATAAATGAAGGATTGCTGCGTAAATACACAATATATATATATATAATATGCATTACAGTTCAAAAGTTTGAGGCCACTCCTACTATATATATAAAAACACAGATACCTTTTCACCTGAGATCCTTCCGACCGACTTTGACCAAACTTGGCACATACATTGTACAACATAAGAGATAGCATCTTAGCGTAAAAAAAAATCAATAATCTCAATAAAGCCGATCAAAAATCGATAAATTCAGCTTTTTTCCTCCGATTTTGTTCACATTCGGCATGTAGGTTACTTACATCAGGACGAGCTCAACGATACCTTATTTTTATTTCAACGTTGTTGCGTTTAGCGAAAAGCGAAAAATCGATTTCAATACAAATTTTAAACTAAAAACTAAAAGAATTTCCAAGCAATCTAATACAAACTTCACTCAATTGTAGCCAACAATAAGTTGATTGTTTTACAATCATTTAACTTGATAATTGAGTCAACCCATATCGTGAAAACCCGAGTAAATAGCGGAAAATGGCGATTTTTACTGGTTTCTTTCTTATTTTTTGTTGATCTTTCAACCAATTTTCATCAAACTTAACAATTGCATTATAAATGTAGCCTTTTTTACATCCTGACAAATTGAATTTGGTCAATTTCTACACACTGTGTCCACAAAAGAAAACACTTGTTCGAACACAAGAAAAATTAAATAAAAAGTTTAATCGCAGTACCTTGTCTGTCGTCTTTAATGAAACATATATAAATGAAGGATTGCTGCGTAAATACACAATATATATATATATATATATATATATATATATATATATATATATAACAGTTCAAAAGTTTGAGGCCACTCCTAGTAACTTTTTAAATTGGCCCAAAACTAGTTGTTTTGTACTTTAAATAAGAGAAAATGATTCTACATAGCCAATAGAAAATGAAAAATGATTTTTTTTATTAGAATTTTATTATGACAAAAAGCAAAGAAACATTTTATGATTAAATTTTGTTCTCTTCAAGATATCAAAATAAAGGAAATTTATTTCTCTTCAAAATTACGAGGATTGATTGATAAGTAAGGTCTTCAATCCTATAAAACAATTTTGAGACCAGATAGAATAATGAAATTGGTATCAAAATGAAGGAAATGTATTTCTCTTCAAAATTATGAGGGTTGATTGTTATCGATATTTAGTATCTTTATTTTTATTTGTAACACCCTGTTGGGTTCTCAGCCACTCCAACCCACTTCCCAGAATCTGACCAAACATTAATTATTAGTCGGATAGTGAATTTTTCAGCAGCTCTTCTTATTTTTTTTATTTTTTTTTATTCTTTCATTTTTTTTTTTTTAATTATTAATCGATTTTTTTCTTTTTTGTAGGTAAGTAAATGATTTCATTTTCCTGATCTCGATTCAACATACAAGATTAAAAATCAGGTATTTCTTTTTCTTTTCCAACAACACTAATCATACACACATCGCGTTATAGCTCTGAATAGACTATGAATCATAAATTAGCCCACGCCCAGTTCCAAGAGACGCAGTCCCCTTCAAGCTGTATCTTCCCCAATGCACGAGGTCAGGGTCAATCCTTGATGCCTGAGGCATTCAAAATACGAACTACCGAGAGAAATTGACGACACTTTCTGTTATTACCCCCGTGGACACGTGCGGGGCTCTACGCTAATTACAACCTTGTGTTGAATCCCGCCATCATTGGTTAAGTTGCAAATAGTAACATCAAACTTAATCGAACAAAGGTCAGATGGACACACACACATACACGAAGGAAAACACTTTATCAAATTCAGCGTAATAAAAAACAGAAAAAAAAAACGACGTACTCGGTTTGCAGTTTTCTATAATAATATATCCAGTAAAAAGGCGGCAAATTTATTATCAGTTTTATCTTTCAGGAATAATTGACCCTGAATAATTATTCGACTTTGTAATTACCCAGTCCCCCCTCTGAGAAGAGATATGTCACTAAGTCGAGATTACTGTTGGGGAACCCGAGCCTGTTCGCTCGGGCCAATGGTCAAAATTTACTCAGATCCCGCAACCGCGGGATCTGAGTAAATTTCTTGTCTATTCTTCTCAGCCGAGTTTCCGCCCGTAGACAGGGGGACAATTGAGTCACCCTCTACCCGAAGACAGAGAGCTTGACAATCTCGCGTAATTACTTAACTCTGATTGGTTCTTTATGATTGATTGCTGCTCGATCTTATGACGTCATTTAAAGGTTATTTGCAGACAACTTTTGTCTTCTGTTCTGCATTTTCTCGTATGGTTAAACAACTCGCTAATTTTTGAGCGTCGAGTTATCGTACTTTTCAAAGAACAACATCCGACAAAATATGCAGAAATTCTTCTTAAATTTTTTCCGTCACATCAGTCGTCACAAGTTTTCAACATTTGTCACTTGTCTTTCTGAATTTACCGCTTTTTTTTACTGGGCATCCTGCAGTTTAACTGTTTTGCCGCTGGCTGAATCAGATCCATATTGACTGTAAATGTATTGTCTATAACTTTAAAAGCCCTTAACATTGCAAATTTTCTTCGGTCTGAATTCCGAACTGTGGAGAAGGCAACGGAAAACCACTCAACCATTTTTTTCCTAAAATCATGACAATTCACTGGACAGATATGGATAGATAGGTGTAGATAGACAGATAGATATGAAGAGAGTGAGATAGACAGATATGAACAGGGTGAGAGGGATGGATGGATAGATAGATAGATAGATAGATAGATAGATAGATAGATATGAACAGGGTGAGATACATAGATATGAACAGGGTGAGATACATAGATAGATATGAACAGGGTGAGATACATAGATAGATAGATATGAACAGGGTGAGATACATAGATAGATAGATGAACATGATACATAGATAGATATGAACAGGGTGAGATACATAGATAGATAGATATGAACAGGGTGAGATACATAGATAGATAGATAGATATGAACAGGGTGAGATACATAGATAGATAGATAGATATGAACAGGGTGAGATACATAGATAGATAGATAGATATGAACAGGGTGAGATACATAGATAGATAGATAGATATGAACAGGGAGATACATAGATAGATAGATAGATATGAACAGGGTGAGATACATAGATAGAGATAGATAGATAGATATGAACAGGGGTGAGATACATAGATAGATAGATAGATATGAACAGGGTGAGATACATAGATAGATATGAACAGGGTGAGATACATAGATGGATAGATAGATAGATATGAACAGGATGAGATACATGGATGGATAGATATGAAAAGGGTGAGATTCATAGATAGATAAATAGATAGATATGAACAGAGTGAGATACATAGATACATAGATATGAACAGAGTGAGATCGATAGATAGATATGAAAGTGAGATAGATATAAACAGTGAAACGTGTCTTATTATTGTCCTTTCTCCTCACTAAATTCTTTTCATTCTTTAACTCCATTAGCAACATTGCGTTTTAGTGGCATTATCGCCTTGCTTTGGTTATACGATTAAAAATGTATATATAATGATTGACATGATGAAATCGTGATAGATTGACAGATTCATAGATAGACTGATGTGAACAGTCAATGAGAGTGAGAGTGACATAAACACACACACACGGAGCGATATAGAATCGAATTCAAGGATCGATGCACACACAGAGAAATACATATATATATATATATATATATATATATATATATATATATATATATACACATGAAAGATAATTTTCCATAGAGTAGTGATTAGCAATCTAGTCTCTCTGTCCATTAGTATGAGGGAAATTCCTGAAGAGATTTGTACTGATTTAGAATCGGACTAACCTAAGTTTCAAAAGATTGATCCACACTGTGTGATCAACGATAGTGGCCTTTTGTCAGTCTAAGCAACAATTAGTAATTACCGACAAGTTTGATTATTACAGCGCACCCCATTACTGTAGCCTTATGCCACACTTTAAAAGTTGTATGTCGATAATCGTACGTGTAGGATTTATTGAGATTTATCTAAAAAAAAAGAAGGAAAAAAAAGAGACAGATGATAAAGTTCCCAAGACGAACAGACCCCGCCCCCTCCCAAAAAAAAATAGAAGGACATTTGTTTTGTTGAGTTCCTCAAGAATGTCACGGTGTTAAATTCGGTGAAATTCATTCGACCATGGAATATTCTATATCTGCTACACATTTATCATCTAGAACGGTTTTCTGAGACTTCACTGAACAATTCGCTCGTTATAATTTAGGAAAGAATCGGGAATTTTATGATACAACCATCGTGATGATATGTGAAGACATTTCTGTCTTTGTTCATATTTATCTAAATCTGTTTATATCTATCTCAGTCTATTCAAAATCTATCTATCTATCTATCTCGGTCCTTTTATATCTATCTATCTATCTATCTCGGTCCTTTTATATCTATCTATCTATCTATCTATTTCGGTCCTTTTATATCTATCTATCTATCTATCTATCTATCTATCTGGGTCTGTTCATATCTATCTATCTATCTATCTATCTATCTATCTGGGTCTGTTCATATCTATCTATCTATCTATCTATCTATCTATCTATCTATCTATCTATCTATCTGGGTATGTTCATATCTATCTATCTATCTATCTATCTATCTGGGTCTGTTCATATCTATCTATCTATCTATCTATCTATCTATCTATCTATCTATCTGGGTCTGTTCATATCTATCTATCTATCTATCTATCTATCTGGGTCTGTTCATATCTATCTATCTATCTATCTATCTATCTATCTGGGTCTGTTCATATCTATCTATCTATCTATCTATCTATCTATCTATCTATTCATCCATCTATCCATCTATCTGTTCTATCTCATCTATCTATCTATCTATCTATCTATCTATCTGGGTCTGTTCATATCTATCTATCTATCTATCTATCTCCATCACATCCATCTGTTCATATCTATCTATCTATCTATCTATCTATCTATCTATCTGGGTCTGTTCATATCTTCATATCTATCTATCTATCTATCTATCTATCTATCTGGGTCTGTTCATATCTATCTATCTATCTATCTGTCTATCTATCTATCTATCTGGGTCTGTTCATATCTATCTATCTATCTATCTATCTGTCTATCTATCTATCTATCTATCTATCTATCTGGGTCTGTTCATATCTATCTATCTATCTATCTGTCATCTATCTATCTATCTATATCTATCTGTTCATATCTATCTATCATATCTATCTATCTATCTATCTGTCTATCTATCTATCTATCTATCTATCTATCTATCTGTTCTATCTATCTATCTATCTATCTATCTATCTGGGTCTGTTCATATCTATCTATCTATCTTTCTATCTATCTGGGTCTGTTCATATCTATCTATCTATCTATCTATCTATCTATCTATCTATCTGGGTCTGTTCATATCTATCTATCTATCTATCTGGGTCTGTTCATATCTATCTATCTATCTATCTATCTATCTATCTATCTATCTATCTATCTATCTATCTATCTGGGTCTGTTCATATCTATCTATCTATCTATCTATCTATCTATCTATCTATCTATCTATCTATCTATCTGGGTCTGTTCATATCCATATGCATATTTGGAAAGTTTCGTTTAAGTTTCCACAGTTTTGTTACTTCGATTTACAAGTCCTTATACCCTGACTGTTTTTGAAATTCTTTTTTATAAAGATTGGAATCCCGTGGCAAGTCATATCAATTAGCAGGTTCCATTTTTAAATTCATGACGTAAGAGACATGCAGAATTGAACCATCTTTGTTGATTTTAGCCTTGTAGGCATCAGTTGGGAGACATTGGTCTTATGCTGCTATAATAAGACGTCCTATCTCCCGCTTAAGACTACTATTTCTGAGTAATTGACAGCTTTCGTGAACATCAATGTCAGGTTCATCCAAACGCTTTAGATACTTTCAATAAAAGAGTTTAGATCTGCATTTTGATTCATATTATGAAATGGACAAAGTCCGACAATTATTTTAAGACATTTTTATGTTTATACATTCTTTTTTATGGATACAAATATTTAAGTAAATGCTCTGTTTATAATAAACAGCATTAAACATCATTTACCGGCCTGAATGTCCGAGAAATATTCATAGAAAATATTCGTCCTCCGACAGGATTCGAACCTCTATCCTATACAGAACCGTCATTTAGCTTGACGTGCCTTTAACCGATTTGTTTACATTTGGAGGCGCTTTGAGTAGATATGAATGTACGTGAGAGATTCATGGAAGATCGAAGTTTAAAGACAGTAAATTCGACTTTGCTTACCGAACGTTCCTCTGTGGCCAAATCGGTTAAAGGCACGTCAGGCTAAATGACGGTTCCGTATAGGATACAGGTTCGAATCTGTGAAAGTTTTTTCGGACATTCAGGCTGGTAAATGTTGTTAAATACTGCCTATTATAAACAGAGCATTTACTTAAATATTTGTATCTATAAAAAGAATCTATAAACATAAAAATGTCTTAAAATTTTGGTTCATGTTGTTGTTATTATTATTACACTTAATATTATAATGATGGCTAATTTCTTGTTGATAGCTAATCCCTGTAGCAAACTCCCGCTCAGGAACATTCATATTTTTTCAAAATCCATAGAACTAACCTATGCTTGATTCTGTAATTATACTGAACATAACTTAGTTAGAGTTTCTGGTGGGTAAAGGCATAATCTCGCTTGATCAGTGGTTTGAACAAGGTCAATACATTCAAACACTCGGCCACGATGACTTGTGACATTGAAGCACAACTGTCAACGCCTTCCTATCATCTACCCAATTTCCTTTGCATGTGTTGGATCAACCCGTGCAATGCTTTTTCAGGTACTTCCCAGTGGAACTGCTTGTTGGGATCATCTCTCCAAACCGATATTGTCATGATACCACCTCGACAAATCGACCATGGAGTAATTTAAACCCGGGCCTACATATATAGAAAAAAGTCGATGTTTCAATTGTTTTCACTCTCACCACCACCACAAGCAGCAATAGCCACATACACCAATGCCGGTAAAAGTTTCAAATGTTGAATTTGGCGTAACACAATCTTTATCGCTCCAGTACCTTCCGTCAGTAATTTATAAGATGTACAGACGCAAATGAAATTCTCAGTCGTAATTTATGGCAACTTTTGTTTGCAGCTGAAAATCTCTTACTTCCGGTTTGTTGCGTGCACTGAAAATGTTTACCTGTTATGTTGAATGGGGAAAGAAAGAAAGAAAGAAATATATTATGAGTGATAAGGGAGAGGGGACGTGTGTGAGAAAGATACAGAAAAAGTGAAAAGGAAGGAGAAGTAAAAGAAGACATTTCCATTTCTCTCTTTTATTGGTCATCTGACTGTTGCTTAGTCCCTTAGACCAATACTATTGGTGCCACTGCTGAAGATTATATGCTGAAAATATTTTTATATAGCGACGAAATAAAAAAAAGAAAGAAAAGGTAAAGAGAAAAGAAAGAAAGAAAAAGTAAAGGAACTAGAAAAAAGAATGAATGACAGATAAAAAAGTAAAGAAACTAGAAAGAAAGAAAGAAAGAAAGAAAGAAAAGGTGAAACAGAAAGAAAGAAAGAAAAGGTGAAACAGAAAGAAAGAAAGAAAAGGTGAAACAGAAAGAAAGAAATAAATAAAGAAAGAAAGAAAGAAAAGGTGAATCAGAAAGAAAGAAAGAAAGAAAAGGTGAAAAGAAAGAAAGAAAAGGTGAAACAGAAAGAAAGAAATAAAAAAGGTGAAAAAGAAAGAAAATGTGAAACAGAAAGAAAGAAAGAAAGAAAAGGTGAAACAGAAAAGGTAAAAGAAAGAAAGAAAGAAAGAAAAAGTGAAAGAAAGAAAGAAAAGGTAAAACAAAGAAAGAAGGAAAGAAAGAAAGGGTAAAACAAAGAAAGAAGGAAAGAAAGAAAAGGTAAAACAAACAAAAAAAGAACGAAAAGGTAAAACAACTATTTTACCTTTTCTGTCTTACTTTCTAATTGTTTACTTTTTCTTTTTTTAAAAGAAAAAAGATAGGCAGACAGAAAATGTAAAACGACTAGAAAGAAAGGAAAGAAGAAAGAAAGAAAGAAAGAAAGAAAAGGTAACACGACTAGAAAGGAAGGAAGGAAGAAAGGAAGAAAGAGAAAAATGTAAAACGTCTAGAATGAAAGAAAAAGTAAAACAACGAGAAAGAAAGAGGAAAAAGGTAAAGAAACAATAATGAAAAAAAAAAAATAAAAGATAGAAACGACATAGGGGAAAGAAAGAAAGAATTAAAATTTAAAGAAACTGAAATGAAAGAAAAAACAGACCAACACTCATA